TATTTATTCAAATTATTAGCGATTACGTTTGAAAAAAAAAAAAAATTTAATATCGTATAATTCAGAGGCGAATTATGATACCAACGAAAGAGGCGCACAAAGTATAAGTTGGTTTAATAAAATCAAATAACTAAAGCAGTCCAAACCATAGCAGTGTATTGACTAAAAAGAATAGTTGAGCGATACTTTTTCAATGTAGGTATATTCCTGACGGAAACGACCGGAAAATATTTATTTACAGTTTTCATTATAGTCGATAAATTTAAAGAGGGAACAAGGGGGAGGGGGTTGCTTACCATTAAGTAGGCGTGTAAGTACCCATATGGGGATTGGTCCCGTACAACTTAACCTACGCCGACGGTGTTGCATGAGCTCATAAACTTTGTTATCTTGCGGTTGTAATAGGGCACAGCTACGTATATGAAAACATCTCACTCGTGTGGCCGCAGATTTAAACATAAAATTTCATAACAATATCAAAGATATAAAATACAAAATACATTATCTAATCCGCCATAATATATAGTCAGTCATCATTTAAATCTTACGATTGATAAGGAGTTAATATTGTAAAATATTTTTTGCTAATTCACGCGGCTACACTGATATCGTCGCGACTCCCTAATCGGTTTTTATTATAGATTTCCTTTGTCTTCGGCCGAGTGGTATATAATGTAGTCTGTGGTAAGAGTTCGTAAATCCTTTTGTATTTTGTGCGAGATACAACTTGGGGAAATGCGGTAACTGTCCTCAGCGCGAATCTCCTATTGCAATAATATGTATATCCAGCTAGTAGTAGTATACGTGTCGGTACTATTCGGGTTGAAAGTGCGAATGATAGGCTACTATGAACTCTGAACGACCAATCCACACAAGGCGGCATTGTCATTATATTGAAGCGATATACACACAATTGCTACTACAATACCGCCACTATATGGTGTACCGTATAGTATAAATATGTATACCCTTTGAAAGAGGGTAGTTTTGACGGGTGTCTGTCGGGGAGCTCAACGGGGAGTGTGCAATAGCGTAAAAAAGGATAAAATTTTATCGCGTTACATGCTTGTTTCCTTTACATTAAAAACCAATTTATTAGTTTTTATTGTTCCGTCGCTGTAAACAGTAAACGTACATAGCCGAGTTGAAAACAGTTTTTATTTTTACATTGTTATGCTTTGAAAAGACTTCGAATCGATCGACAAAAATTGCACATTAAAGCATAAGGTCTGCATAGGTTATATACGTACATTATATGAGATACTTTAATGTGCTCTAATGGACAATTTAATTTATAATTTATATAACATTTTTCAATACAGTTCCCGGTTGGCCTACACGTGCAGTGTATAATCATTTATCAAACTCAATTTATTTTCGAACTATATACAACTGAAAATTACAAATAAACTTCTGTTTTTCGATCGAATTCGGTAAAAAAAAAATTAATCAATCAAGACTGACATACGCATAGCTTATACTTAAACGCACCGTTACGTACCGACTACCAATTACGGGCCAATTAGGTGGTTAAATTACTATTATCATTTTTTTTTATAAATACTTATAATAAATGGACACGTTTTTAAGCCGCACTCGGTTTACAAATTCTATTATTTGACATATGCCTATACACAAAAGTTAAATTTAATAATGTGCAATTGGTCGCTAAAACTGCTTTATGATTAGAATCTTTTTATTTTACTATGCTAAACCTCGAATTAGTGACTTGTCGTTTGCATAGAAGTCACACGCAGGGTTTCGTTATTCATCACACGTGTCTCGGCGAATGTAATTCAATATATGGAACTTGCAATTCGGACTAACTTCGTTTAAGTAGTCCATGTGGCCAGTTTAAAAGGGTATAACATTCGCCTTATCGGCACACAAGTTGATACTGGGATAATTGTATTATAAACAAAAATAAAAACACTAATACTTGACTTGGAAAACATGTAGGTATTATATTATTGTAAATACTTTACCGATATTTAATTATTTATTTTTCTGATAAAGTTGAACAGTAACCGTACACCATACACTACCCCTAGTTTGCCAATGCGCATTAGCTCGTTATTATTACTTTTTTGTTTTGTTTTCGAGAACTTGTAAACCGTAAAAAAGACATAAATATTAAGCGTGTCACGTTATCGCGGTAGGATAGTACCTTCGAAACGGGTAAACATATCGGATGATACAATATCCGGGGCAAGGTCGAATGGATTTTTTTTTTCTATTACATATACCACCCAGTCACGAACAGCGTTATCGGTATATATAGTTTCTGAATTATTATATTTTTATATTAGACTTGATTAGATTTTTATTTCACTCGAATAACAGTATTTTTTTCGTATCGTCGGAAACGCGTTTTTTCATTTAATTAACAGCTGCACTGTACAAAAAATAGACTAACCCTTATATTATATTTTTTTCCCCAACGCGAGCGGATCCAACAGCTATTCTTATTGACAAATCAGCGAGTATATTATATATATATATATTTTTTTTTCTTTATTCGATTATTCCATTTCTAATTTCGACGTCGTCGGTGCGGTAAATAACTATATACCGACGTTGTCCGAGTAGCAGAGGTATAAATGATTCTCTGTTTTGGACTTTTTTGTTTTTTTCTCCAAATGAAATCTACTGGAAGTCCGCTGATGTTTTTACCGGTTTTTGTCCAATTCGCCAAATTGTTTTCCAGACTAAAAACGTTCTCCGCCGAACTCTTCTGTCAATTCACGGCGGACAAGTAATTTATTTATCTATCCCATCTGCCCAAGTCCATAGTGCGGACTTGGCGCAAGACGTCCGGGTCAAATTTATACCGATAAAGCACCGCCACCGAGAATCGTTTTCCGTAGACACGTGCGTGGTGTTTAATTTGTGCACTTCTTTGTCTTTACAATATGTTCACATTGTCATTTATATTAAGAAACGAAAATCGATAGCGATGCCCATAAAATTACAATATTCCCTAAAGGTCGGCTAACACAAACAATGCGCTGGTATTGCCAATTTATATACACTGTGCACAACCGTATAATAATAGTGCGTTGACCCTCAATCAATCTGTCCTGTGTAGACTTTGAACAGTATTGGTTTTACGAACCGCCCAGGCCCGGTCAGAACAGTAGTCATAGAAGCTTTAATGGAAGCACAATTTCATGCGCAATGTCCCTGTATAAGAATACAGTTGGTAAGGATTTCTCACGATAAGAAAAACAACGAAAAATACGTATTGGACTTGATTCTTTAGGTTTTATTAACGAAAGACTTGGATTTTATTTTAAAAATCATAATATAACATTATCCAACTCCGTTAACGTTCACTGCTGTGATTTCACGAAAAAGACTTAGATAATAACATAGTTGAAAAAAATGGATGTCACATAAAAAAAAATGAATAATAAAACTGGTTATAAAATCGCTTGCTATTCTTATTTTGTTTTTTGTTCATATAACCATAGATATACCGCCTATAAATCAGATATCGTACACCGAAGATACTAAAGTCTGCCATAAAAGTACTATGTAAAATTTAAAAAAAAAATCATTTTCCCAATAATATCGACAAAAACGCTCTCAAAACGAACATAATATATTTTGTTACTTTAATACACTAAAATTAGCCGAAAAATGCTTTGGATAATTCCAAATCACCTGTACCTTCACAAAATTAAGTATAACATGAGTATTTTTGTTTGAAAACAACTCAGTTTATATATTATTTACAACTGATCCGTATCATTTATAATATATAAAGGTCACGTTATGGATGATTTATTGTCTTTTTCTACGAAAGGGACATAATTGTGTAGTATATATTTTTTTAATGATATCAACGAAACTGGATAGGGCGTATCAAGATGATATTATAATTAATTTACCTATAGATTTATTATTTATTTAAATTAATTTACATAATATACGAGTTTAGTGTTGTGTATTTAGTTTTGTTGTCAATACAAGTGTAATTATTTTAAAAAATTGTGTATTTTATTAAATGTCGTGTTGTAAAAAGGTTTTTCAATTAAAAGTTTTTATTTCAAAATATGTTCAACTGTCGATTAATATTACTGAAAAATTGCATTTACATTTAACATGTTTGTTTACAATTCCCTTCCCTCTCCTTAACTCTAACCGTTAAGATTATTATTTTAAAGGGGTGGAACAAAAAAAAATTAATTTTTACAAATCCGTCATTCTAACTGAATAAATGTCTTATTATAGATAATTTTTATTACAATTTGTAATTATAATTCAGAACTGGAAAATGTTTGTAGAAAAAGTTATCATGTCAAAACTGAATGAGAAAATCTATCAGATTAAACTACTATAAAGTTTTAAAACTTTTTTAATTTAATAAACTTTCTCGATCAGTACTATTATTTAGCATTTTTTTTTTATAGTAATTTCATTAAAACATTTGTTTATCGACATTGAATTTTTTTATAGGAGCATTTATTATTTTTTTGTAAATCTAAATTTTTATACATAATACTTAACGGTATCGGTGGCGTTTTTTTCCCGTGAATTTATTTAATAATATAATAATTAATAAATTTGATCTTTTATTATGTTTTCAAATGAATTGATTTATACAATACTATAAAGTGCTGCACCCTATCTCGTACAACTTTGGGTAAGAACAAATGCATTCAATTCGGTTCAGACTTGTTGATTTGATCTTTGGCAAATGTAATGAGTTTTGAGTGTTATGAGTTTGGAATAAGATTATTGTTTTTGTCTCAAATGTTCGACGACCACGCACCGATAAAACAATTTACAATATCATTTTTCGGAGCCAGTTGTTTTAAGGAATAGTGTCGTACAGCCACTGCACAATAATTATTATATAATACTGAACTATCCTTAGTGGGTGTTTTGTTTAGGATAATATTACTTGCCGTCGCGTGGGTTCGCAGAATATGCGCGAACGTGTCTGAAGTTATCACAGTTACATAATAATCAAATGTAAAATATATATTCATACACAAGAATCCATTAAGGAGAAATTCGTTTCGGTTAGTAAGTCGTATTATGCAACCGGTGTGCGGAAATTTGAATAAATATTTTTTCCGGAAACATTGGAGAAATTCACCAAAGGGCGCAAAAACGGTAAACAAAATGGAACTATATCGTTTTCTCGGCAAAGTGAAAAAAAATGCCATTCATAATATTATGTTTACAAATAATATAATTATACGCTTTAATTTACATAAAGGTCAAGGTCTGCGTGTTCAATGGCCATACATAATTAACAAAGTGATATGAACGCCATTAACACACGATGGAGCATGCAAATATCCTTTTAACATTTAAATTAAACTTACAACTGTAAAAGACACGTGATGTTTGCGCAAAATAATAAAAACAATAACAATAATAATAATAATGATAATCATGATATTACCGAATACACGTCATCTAAATGTGTGCTCTACTTGTTTGGTTAATTTATTTTCCTTTTGAATAATATAATTGTCATTGTCAAACTTATCAGAAATATCGTTAAAAATAGTAAATTGCATTTTTTTTGTTTTTTACCCGTTGACGTACAAGTATGGTGTTTACAATAAAAAACAAAAAAAACCATTAATATTGTATTATAAAACAATATCCAATACCTTTCAATTGCATTATATTGTTATATATCTTTACATCATATTGTTAAACAATAGCAATATGTGTTAATATACATATACAATATTATAAACGGCTTATTCGTTTTTTGGATATCAAACGAACAACGTTGTTGGCCAGACAGGCTGCAATATTGTATATGAAACAAATGGGATTAATTAACAATTACATTTCGTTCATTTATCAAAAAGTAAATTTTTTGCAAAGCGCTATAGACGTGTGTGTTCGCTATAGAATTGATATAAAATGTAATTAAAATAACCATCAAATTCCATTTGTATGCCATAGTATTGTTTTGAAAGTGTATTATGCTAGAATAAATAGAGTGCGATCAGCTATTATGATCAGAGTTTGACACATTTTAAATAGGATAATAGGTACATAATAAAATAATTCGACAGTTAAAAGATAACTTTTTGTTTTTCAAATAACTGTAACCGCAACCCTTCGGATAAAAGACAATTTATATAGATTTTATGATTTATAAACCCCTTAGATAATTTCATAAATAGTTATAACACATAACTAATGTATTTGTAATTTGAAATAAAACAATAATTAGCATATTAAACAATTTTTTTTTATCTTAGATAATTTTTATATTTATCTTTTACCCATACACAAATGTATTTAAAGTTTGAAATAAAGTAAATAAGTATTTAAATAAATAAAAGCAATTATCGGTTAAGATGGGAAACTGAAAAATTAATAGAATTTTTAAATTAATGTCGTTAATAATAAAGCAATCACCTGGTAATAATGTTAGCTACAAATATCTAAATTTTATATTTAGTCTCATGCCAACATACAAGTATAGATAATATGTTGATAATTTACATACTATGAGTATATTGAATACCATCGGCGAATAACTTTATACTCTATCATAATATTAATTTACTTGATAGTATCTCTAATGTGATTACTATTTAATACCACACTACAGATTATGGCTATGTTTCAAAACTTGTGAGTTTTGATATCGCCATCACCACCTGTAGACTAAAATATTCTCAAGTCTTAATTGTTGCTTCACGAGTACATTTCTTGCATAGTTTTCATATAATTTATCGACTGACCTTCGGACGAATTGTTTGGTTTTGTTTATGCCGAAAGGAAGGATCCCGGAAGTCGAAAGTTTCCTTACCTGTAGCAGCCTCTGGGGCATTCGTTTAGTAGGTGACCTACCAGAAAACTGCAGCCAAACATTTATAAATTGTGTAATTTTTCTTAATAATACAAATTCACATTTAATAATTTTTAATGAGTCATTTATTACAATAAACCTTTATAATGTCTGCTAAAAAAAATGATAAAAATTCGTTATTTTTCTAAGTAAACTATATCATACTTCAATCAAATGACGAGGCAACATAACATCTGGAGTTGTACCATGTATTCAACTTAAATTTTTTTTTTAATACTAACCACATGCATTCAATTGTTGCATAGGCTATAGCCATGGAACTCAACAAATGGAACGATTATTGCTTATAGTCGGTTGATTATGAAAATGTATACAAGTAGGAGGTTGCCATTTTGTGAACAGTTATCGCCTAACCTAACATTTTAATATGTAAAAGTAACAAGGTTGCAAATTTAGACATTTGCGGAAAAGAGATTTCCCGGTAATTTCGGACGGATTAAAATGGCCGCCGAGCCTTTGTACGTCTTGTTAATTAATATCCCGTATAGTTGTGCGATTATAGATTGTAGTAACACTGGTAATGTGTTTTTATTGTATACCCGCTGGGCCGCGCCGTCGACATAATCAACTACAGCCCGTCATCGTTTCGTCGGCGAGCCAGCGGTATCCATATAATAATAATAATAATATTACTATTATGATCATTATATTTATTATAACATAATAAGGAATGATTGATTGATCGATCGCTGTTTGTCTGTTTGTTCACAGGCACACTAAACGGCCGTGCGGAGGCGACTACCAATGCGGTTTCACCACTAGTAAAAATGCCGAATACCACTCACTGGCCGCGGATGATTCATTATGCACGTTGACCAGGATTGGCAAAATGGTAAGTACATACCGACACGGTTTAATAACACCCCGTCTACTAGATAATAGTATATTTTAGTAGCTAGAAATATTAGGGGTTATTGGGGTCGAAGCTACTGTCAAAAAAATCAAAAGAACGACTTTACATAGTAATAGCTAGACCAGTGATAATGTATGCATGTGAGACATGGCCCACGACCCAAGGAGATGAGAATAGACTAGCTATCATGGAGAGGAAATTCCTTAGAAGGATTTACGGACCAAAAAGAAACGAAGACCAAACATACGAAATTAGGTCTAACAGAGAACTTCAGGAATTATTCGGAAAACCAGACATAATAGCGGAAATACGCCACAAGAGACTGAGTTGGCTTGGACATGTGCTAAGGACTAAGTCAATAGCAAATGATGTATTAAGCTGGATTCCTCAGGGAAGAAGGCCGATTGGAAGACCGAAACATAGGTGGATGGACAAAAATAAAAAAGAACTAAATCAACTTGGAATAGACAATATTATTGAAGCAGCTCTGAACAGAGACAGATGGAAGGAGATTTGTTTTGCAGCGATGGGCCTTAATGGCCTTTAAAGCTGGAGAAGAAGAAGAAATATTAGCCTAGTTCGCATAAAACACAACGCAGCTGTATTCAAATTCGTACGTCCGATGTATCCATTATTATTCAGACGTAGATCCAACAAACTGGTTAGTTTCTGGGTAAATTCTGGATATTTTTTCTTACAACACTCACTTGTAGGTTTATAATATTATCGCTGGTCGCATTAACAATTTTACGGTAAGTTTATTTTGATATAAATGTTGAAATGTCAACCACAACATCCTAAGGCATTCCATAGTATTATTTTGATAAATTTGTATAACTTGGGGGAACCGAGTCCGATGGGAAAATACATTATATATCTAACCGGTAACTACTAGAATAGTACCTAGTGTACTTTGATCACTGGTCAGTAGGTACTGTTAAACAGTAACCGGCAACAAGCTGATATAACTGACAATTTTTGTGAAATACTAGCAACGGTCGTTGTAAGAAGCGCTGTTTATTTAACTTTTAACTGTATGTACCGGCATGGAGTAGTTTCGCTTCTGAGCTTCAAGGCTGGAAGTCTATAGAGGGTACGCAACTGTTTTATGGATACAGTGACGTCGGCGTGGGTTTGTATACCGAGCACACACAGTGGACTCGCCTTAAGACCGTCAATAAGGGTTTATTAAAATTTTGGATAACCGACCATGTGATCGCCGCTCCCTTTTTATAACCCTAGCCGGCCTTCTGGGAATCCACTACCCCCCTCACTATATTAGAACTTCAATACAGCACCAATGCATCCTATACAAACTGAAACGGAGCAAGAAGAACAATAAATTAACTTGAACGTCGTCAACGTCCATTAAAAAAAAAAAAAAAAATTAAAAATGAACATTACATGTATAGTTTTTGTAACGCACGTGCATCGAGTCAGTGTCGTTCAGTTTACACAGCGGATTCAAATAAACCAGACCATTACACTGCACTCGGCTACGTCGGTCTCATGTTTGCATACAACGGCATTACTTAGGTATTTATGAGTAAACAGACTATTAGATACTGCGTTATAACGAGGTAAACGCTTAGAAGCCATTTTTTCCACGTACATTAGACCACATTTGTATTTATCTATCGAAGCAAAACATTCAAAGACTTGTAAGTGTGTACAAAATTACAAATGTAATATGTTTATCATGTTAACAATAACATTATAAAAGCCAAGAGCCGGCGAAAAATAACAATCAGACGCTTCATCGCCTCGTGCGGTAACAATACCGTAAAGGGGAATCCTGTCTTAGTCTAAATAATAGCAAAAAAGAATAATAACATATAAACATACCCAAAGCAAGATACAAACGATTTATCAAAAATAATGGTCGCGATAATTTTAAGTGAATACAATTATTCAGTGAAATGCATAATACACTACCGAAACATCACAGCCGACCGTGTTAGTCGCCCTGACCATTTCGCGTACACGGATGGGTGACCACACCTCTTGGTTTCCGCAAAGTGCTGCTACCGTATTATAATAATTGCTAAGATATATATAATAGCATAAAATGCTAAATCTGTCAAAATAAAATCATGATGTTGTTTTGCGACAGAGTGGCGTTCGCTAGGAATGTTGGAAATATAAAAATTGTACAAATGTACGATTGGCGGTATAAAGTATAATAAAAGTAAGCAATCGACATTGTTGGTCTGACGGACTACAATATTTAAATGTAAATAGTAAAAAAAAAGGAACTTGCTAAGATTTACTATCAGTAATAAGAAATATAAACCTTAATAAACGTATATTACATTATTATATTTCACTCGGATAGATCACACAAATATGTCCCAACATTTTAAACGATTCAATCGACAAGTTAACTGTATCGATAACTCCTGTATTTATGAGACACGTGACCACAGTGATGTTTTGCATTCAATTGACATATTTTATTATTCAGCGAATACACTGCAAATCGGTAGATAAGATCTACGGAAACCGGCCGGTAGTCAAGACGGGCCGAGGTTTTTCGGATTTTGTGTTCCGGGTAGAGAAACGGTTTTTGGGATTTATACCGTACAATACAATGTGTACACTGTACAACGTACTGTTTACAATGACAGTGTTGAAAACATTTTAAAATAACGTTACGCGACGGTTTCGCGTGACACATGTCTTTTTCAATGTTGTTCGGCGGTCAAATGCATAATTGATCTTTTTTTATTTACTTTGGTCAGACTAAATCAACTTGACACGAGCGACTGTCGGTTAAAATTAGAAATTCCTGTTTAAAACTCATTTGAATGTGTAAAAAAAAAATCTCCCTACAACCAGAGTTGGGTATTATTCGATGAATTGTTTTTTTTCTGAACGAAGCGATAAATCATAATAAATTATGTCTTATTTAATAATTTATTATTCGATTATTTGTTATTCTTTGTTATTATTGTTGTACGGTAACAAACAACTCAGGTTCAGAAAGTTCTTAAAAGTGGAAAGATAAAACAACAATATAAAGAAATATTTAATAAATTTTTTGCCAATTGTTGAACGGACAAATATTCTTTAATGGATAACACATTGTTAACATTTTTCAAGAGAAATAATATTCTCTTCTAACAAAGGTAGCGTCGAGCTTATTTACACTTTGTAGTCACCACGCTCTGAAAAATGTCATAAAATATTCATATTAGCCCATCCGAGTACGTTCTTAAAAGACATTTTACAAGGGTTTTGATTCGAAACAAAAATAACTCCTTTTATGATTTAAAAGCATGTTGTTCACATTTTCAAATATCATTTTATATATATTATTCAAATAACGCGCTACACCCTTCTGTTGTATACAACGGTGTATTTGTACAAAAGAAATACATATTAATATGTTTTTTTTTTAATACGTATCTAAACGCTTAATAATAGTTAGAGAAAAAAATCGGTCATTGAACGCAAACAAAAATAATAATAATAAAACATAAATAAATATTAACAATCAATGAACCTTTATGATATTTTTCTTTACATTAGTATAGTTCTACTTGAATTTCATGCCAAAACTTTCAACTAAATTCTTATTGGCCTCTTATCTACAATTCGCACTAAGGTTATTGTCTTTCGACTATAAAAATCGGTTTATTCAATGCAATAAACTGCAGATGACTATTTTGGACTCTGTCCAGTTACACGGTTGGTTTATAAGCCCACAAGAAAAATCTATTAAAAACATTTCATTTTTGATGCTTATGAAAGGATAGCCAGACTCTCGGACGACAACGTACACCATAACTACAATAATACAATAACAGTTATTGATGGTAATATTAAAAAAAACTGTTTAGTATTATTGGTTTTATTATTAATGATCACAAATTTTATATATTTTCATACAAGTTAAGTTTTTTTTTTTATCACGACGAGTTTAATGAACTGCATTTAATGTAAACGCCGATAAAAACGTTATTGGCAAATATTTAGACTAGCAAAAATCGTATATTTTATTTTTAATATGGAAAAAAAAACAATAATATTACTTATATCAGACAAAAACGTATCGATTTAAAATTGGAACAACACTAAAAATATATTTTGTTCTTGTGTTTCAGTGGTCAAAGTTACGTGCATTGGGTTTTTAGCTGTGATTGGGGCGTTCTTCAACATTGTTGTGCTGGTTATGTTTTACAAAAAACCATCGCTCAGATCACCTTCAAATAGGTATGTAGTTTTTATAAAATTTAATTAAATAAAGCTTTTAGTCTGGCCGCTTTATTTAGCTTAATTGAAGCGGAGGAAAAAAAATGTTGATAAAAGTTGGATATTCAACCAAAAATATGAGATTTATTGAGTTTATTTTTAATCCAAAAACGCCCAATTATTCGATCGAGCTTTTGTTAAAAAATAACGTTAGATATATTCAAACACATTTGTTACATTTATTATTATATATTTAACAACTTTTGCATCTGCCTAAGCAAAAAGGATGAGTGTTTTTTTTTTGGGCCTTCGTTGCCAAACTCAGAAGGTTTTACAATGATGTGTGTGTGTTTTTTTTTTGTCTGTATATCATCACTATATAGCTGTTCTTCCTCCGGACCGAAATTTAACTCGAGTAGCATTTCTGTACATCCGGAATTGAATGCGATTGGTATACTTTGGTGGGTCGAAAATTGAAAAAATGTAAATCTCACCCCTTACACTTTGACTTGCTGTGTGTGTATCTCGGCGAAAAACGGTCGGATCGAGTCAACGCCGCTGTCCGGAAATCGCTTTAAATTCAAATTTCGATAACCCTGCAGGTTTTTTTTCGCTGCTGCCAAAAAAACTAAACCTTCGCCTCCTTTACAGATTCGTCGGCAGTCTTATTGCGTCCGACTTGCTGTCGTCGACGGTGCTCGGCCCTTTGCTGGTAACCGACGTGAAGACCGCCAACAGAGCGTTGTTAGTGTTTGTGGCCACGTCGACCATATTCTCAATACTAGTCATAGCCATGGATCGGTACACGGCCGTGCTGAGTCCATTGCACTACGCCACGAATGTCACCAGGCAAAAGAGCGCCTTTGGTAAGTATACATATATATATATATATATATATATTTTTTAATTAATCTATTCTAAACACACCCCCCCCCCTCCCCATTATTTGACACCCGGTTTCTGGCCATCGTTCCGGCCGAGTCACCGGTCACATATCCGTCATTGTTATCCCACGCTGTATAAAAAAAAAATTTTATCCGGAAACGACGATTCGTTTCGATGTGCGCGTTGCCGGCAAACGTTTTGGCGACAGGTTGGAACGACGGTAAAGTATATATTTTTTAATACTGCTAATAATACAACAAAGAATATCCACGACGGTGTCATTTGTTATTCAAGAAAATCGCATTCCAACGACAAAGGTGCTCTGTTGTCTGCACAATACTGCCTAATATTGATGTTTATTTCACGCGTCTTTAATATATACTTAATGTGTTCGAATATACTTGTTTGCGTATACTTGGCATTGTAATACGTTCCAAGATCAATTTACAATCCGTTTTAACGTAATTTCTAATGGCTGACCTATTTAATAAGTGTAATTATTTTTGATTTTTTTTTAAATTTGCTCTTTTCGAGTTGTGCGTGGAGTTATAATTCGTATAGATCCCTAGGTTGGGTTAACGGCTAAAATGTTTTTATAATAATGTGAGTTTAACCGGTTTATCAGATTTTGAGCCTTGCTATTAAGAGTATCTCAACGTGTTTATATCGGTAGAAATACACTTATTTCATAAAACTCATTAATTTTCTTAAATATTTTAGTAGAGATAATACCTCCGGACAAGACAAAACTAAACGGATTTTCTTAAAACCTGTTTCAGTGTACCTATTTCCAAATATAAATACTAAAACCAACCCCACCGATCCTAGTAAGAATATTATTGGAAAAATTGTGGGTTTCTGATAAATTATTCGTAGCTGTTGAGATTACTAGTATTTAACCACTTACAACTGAAATTTTATAAATAATTTAATGATGTGTTTTTTTAAGTCATTGGCACCGTATGGAGTGTTTCGGCGGTTTTGGCATCGCCGGTTTTGTTCAAAGAACTGTTGGTCCACGACAAGTTGTCTATGGTAGTAATGGAAAAGACACACGGCCTAGTATTGCTATTGACTGTTTTTGTAGCGCCGTGTGCTACCCTAATACTAGTCTACTTCAAAATGTACGTCGCAGCCCACAGGTAAGACATATTTTACACTCATGATTGTGTACAATAGTTTTTTTTAGGAATTTCATTTTTTTTTTTAATTTTAAATACATCTGTACTACAATTTTATTGGACTTTAAAGTCATTTAAAAGCCTACAAATTACTTCGTTCTTCGTATATTATTATCTAGTGTATTTTAGTTGCTCTTAGATATGCACTGTATTGAGAAGTTTTGGATTTATATATTTTTCAGTATAAAAAGCATTAACTGTACGTATAAAACAAACCGAGTTAATATTGCACTAAAAAAATGTTCTGTATAAAAAATATATTGTCGACTTTGGCCGTAGTGTTAAATATTATGCCAAATAAATAAGGCGTTGACTGTAGTAGATATAAGGTCATAAAAATGTATTCAAATTTTTTGTTATATTTGCATATTTTTTTAATAGGTAGTAATATTATAGAGAACTATATACAACTATTATATGAAACAGTGTGATAAAAAAAACTATTTATCAAACGTCTATTTTAAATTATGTTAAAAATCGCATCACGCTTAAACGTAAAATATATGTATATTAACTTTAATTCTGCATAACTCATATTTTTATGAACACTCAAACTTTTTTTGACTACAATAAAGCATTTATGTTTAAATATGATTTAGTTAAACAAAATATAGTGGCTGTGATTGTAATTTTGAGAAATTGGTAAAATAAAGACAATGGCGGAAATTGGCTGATGAGATATATTATAGAGACAGAAATTGGATTCTTGACTCGCTGATGATCAATAAGAAAGATAGTACAGTATATAAAGAAAAATAGAAAGATAACTAAAACTATATAGCAAATGCAATAAAGGAATTAAATATTTTATTTATCGACTTGTCAACCAACTATCTTAAAATCAGCTTTTGTTTCAATAAAATATGAAAAATACATTCCAAGTCTTATAGTTTTACTACGAAGATTTGTTTTCAATATCTCTTTGGAAACATCTCATAAATAATATAACCGTACAACAAATACAGGTAGAAAAAGTCTTCACTGTCACATTATACATACGTACGGTTTTGTATTTCCAATCGTTTCCTTTTCATCAAAAGCTTTGTATCATAATATATATTTTCCAAGTAAAAAAATGATAAACATAATATGTAAAAAAAAAAGTTGGTCATCCATATCGTGGCATTCGATATGTCTTGTCAGTGTGTATCACATACATACGTGTTAAAGTATGTCCAACATGTATTAACACAGCTACTAAAACGGTAAACTTTAAGTACTCCTACATATTAATTGTGTATACACTTCAGGGTGTAGAAATAATAGAATGTAACTTCGGATCTTGTATATTATGTTACCCAAGGCTGAACTAATATTTTTCTGCAATAGTTAATTTTCCAACAAAGGCCAACGCGGATTACTCATTTTCGTGTACGGTCTTAAGTAATGGTATGTGAACATTTCTGTCAATATAATATCACCTACATAATATAGATATATAATCGTTTGCTATTGACAGAGAGCTACAATGCAATATTAGTCATCAGCTATCATATTATTTAGCTTCATTATTGTACTTACTATTAATATTTTGTTGTTTCGCTTGTTTACAACGTATACATCTTTTAAAATGGTATAAGATATACTTATTCTGTATAAATATTTGTTTGATTATTACTATTGTTGTGTTGTAAGACATTTTAGAATTATATTGGGTGTAACTAAACAAAACATTAAAACAGAAATAAAGTCGCTAAAAAAATAACAATGATTTGACCATTGAATCTATGTGAATTATTTAATTTAAACAAAGCCCAAGTCCACATTTGAAGATACAGTAAAAAAAACATTAAGTTGTTTGTTATTATTTTTATATTCTTTAACTATTGTTAAAAAAATTGATATGCTTATATTTTAAGTTTAACCTTGGGCGCTCCAAGTATGGTTTTATGGATTGATCTTATTTTGTTTACCACGAAAATATAAATAGGGTAGTTCAACGCCATAATAAAATGTAATAGCTCACACAAAGATTAAGGCGTTCGGCCTATACTTACGATGTGATGATAGTAGAGATGAGTCAGTGTATGTTAGCACCGAAAATATTGTGAACATTTCACGGAGAGGATTTGGCAGGTGTTTGTGAAGACTGAGACTAATCGAGGAGTACATCAATAGAAAGATAATTTTGGTTTCTGTCTAGCAACCCGTTATAAATGAAACGACAAGAAGACGAATTTATCCATTTTGTTTCTATGCTAGCCGTTTAGTATCCACTTCAAGTCAAATATTATAAGATGCATCTAATATCAGCTACAAGATATTGTGATACCCGAAAAAGTATTACGCTGAGAGAAGTTGATTTTACAATGATGGATTTTTAGTCGAATAATCTAAAAGATAAGTCGCTTGAGATTTTATTCAGTTAATTACACTTGACAATTAAAAGAACAACTTCTTCTATCAAAATATTGTGCCAACCATAGGTAATTATACCCTTCAAGTTAAGTGAAAATAACGGCACACACAGTTATTACTCCTAAACTAATTAACGTTCTGTTTATATTATTACCTACACAGTACATAACTATTTCTCTGATGACTAACGTCCATTTCGGTTACAACAATATTTACTCAACACTACAACAACAATAATAATAACTTTACCAACTGAAACTACTATAACGTAGAAAAACATCCAATTCCCGCTTTGGCTTTGACTGGGTTTCTCGAACAAGAGGACATTAAGAATATAATGACTACAATTTGTTGCAAAATCTTAATAAAATAAAAAATACAAATACAAAACGCACAAACGTAACATACAAAAATGTATTTATCTAATTTAGAAATATTATTAAATTTTGTTAATATTAAAAAGTATACTAATAATAATATTTCATTTATATTAAAATTTTTTTTTTTTCAGTTTATTCTCAACTTATAAAGTTAATAAAATATATGCGTTACCATTTAAGTTTCAAAAGTTGCTATAAAAAATACTAAGTTGGTTGCTATAAAAACAAAAAAATTGTGAAAATTTAGATCACATTGTATAAAAACAATATGAAAAAAAAAATTAATTTCTAATTAAACTTTATAGGATATTGAGTGGCTCATGATAAAAAAAAAACCCTGTATACTTTTTTTGATGCTTAAAAGGACACTTTTATTTTAGGTAAGTTTGGTATTTTGAGTCCCAAAAAGCAGATTTTTTTTTAATAATAAAGATAATGATTGTAAAAGAATATTTGATGAGCATGTAATTTTTAAAAACAAAACTAAAAAAATACTATTGTTAAAAATCGAAAACGACGAACATTATTAATTCGTTTCTTAAGATTTATTTTTGTTATAACAATGAAAGAAGTGTCAGCTTTTATGGGAAACTGAGAATGTATGAGTTTTGCAATTTTATGTTTTTTCATCCGTAAAACAAATAACTTTTTTAATAGCATCTCTATCCACCAGAAATGTTAGGTGGTTGCTACTTGGGGTAATCTCGAGTTTTAAGACTTTTTAACTTTCATTCCCCTTGCAAAAAATAACTTCCCGAAAAATGGTCGAATTGAGCCGACAACGCTTTATAGAGCATTCATTGTGTAAATTATAAGAAATATAGCGTGTAGCATAAACGGTGTGTGTGTTCATATTTTGATTCTTTGGCGATGAACAAATATAGGTGAAGCACGTGTGCCTTACTTGTTCTGGTGGATAAAGGTTGTTTGTTGGTGTCGCGACACCTTAGGGCTTAGGTCCATTTATCTGTATAGTGTTTTTAATTTGTCAGTATCATGTATAAGTATATTATCCCAGTGGGAATACCACGCCTCCATTTTTATTTCTTATCCGGTACATATTATACGGTATCGGGGTGTTTAGAGGTTTAGGGTGCTTGTAATGGTCGGCGTGGTCTTAGTTTAATCTGGTCCCAGTCGTGCTGGAGTTTTTAGTTTTCAGATTCTAAAACAAAAGTCAAAATTATTGTCCATACCGGTTACAAAAATAAATGTACCAGTTCATAAACATTAAAGTTTTCATATCATAACTGTTTTTTTAAGTATGTAAATTGAAAACTCTAATTGAACCTTTTAAAACTTTTCGTTGTCGTCTTGACTTCCATAACAATTCATAATAACATAGGTACCTACCATAATAGTAGTTAATTCTTAACATTATGTGAAAACACAGTGACTTATACTGTAATATGAAGAAAACAAATTATAATTTTTGTCATTATATTTTTTTGAGCACACTAAAAGCGCTGCAGGATATTTACCAAAGTACACTTTTTGTGTGTAAGTATATGACCGTATCAGGTTTTTTTGCCATCGGCTCATTCAACTGAATTTTTAGCTCTTGTTCGTCGTACCTTACTTTTTTTTGTTGACAGCTACCGCATTTACCTACGGCTAAATATACAGTTTTTTATTTTAATACTATTACTTTTAAACATAATTTTTTTCCCGACGCACAAGCTCTTTAGCAGACTTAATTTTTGTACTTTTCTGCTAGGTAAAGGAAACATTGAAATACTAGTGCAATAATCACGTCAAAGTACCAACCGCTTATTTTATACTTAACAACTGTATGAATAAAATATAAATCGTCATTTTGATTTTTGTAAGTACAATGTAATGCATGGAGAAACGAAATCTTCTTAAATATTTTTAAGGCCTCCAAGAAAAAATAATTAAATAAGCTAAACTGCATTTGTTCAACACATTTTCACGGGCTTTTTGAATATTCTACAGGGCTAAGCCTCCCCAACTCCCAAGCCCTCTTTAGTGTCTGCCTTTGTACTTTAAACAAATTAAATTTCTCTACAATAATCGTATTATGAAATAATTATTTTATAAAAGGTAAATTAGTATCATACCGTTTTTGTTAGAGAGGCCAGCAACGATGTAAGAGGAAGTGGAAGTGAGTGGTAGTCGTCGAATGAACGAGGTAAAAGGAAAACCCAAACAAGCTTCTCTCATGTTTTTTAACTTTATACTTCAAACCATTAACTAGAGACG